TGGGGGCGAATCATTGGCCCCCACGGAGAGGGCGCGCAACTTGGGCGCCTTCCTGGATTCATGGCTGTCTTTAGAAGAGCACTTGACGGCCGTGACCGGGAGGATTTTTCATCAGGTTTGCCTGATCCGCCAGTTGCATCCCTTTCTGGATCGGGACTCCTTACGGACAGTCACTCATGCCCTCATCACCTCCCGCCTGGACTATTGTAACGCTCTCTACATGGGGCTCCCCTTGAGGAGCACCCGGAGGCTCCAACTGGCGCAGAGTGCGGCTGCGCGGGTGGTAATGGGAGCGACATGGAGTTCCCATGTAACACCCCTCCTGCGCGAGCTGCACTGGCTCCCGGTGGTCTTCCGGGTGCGCTTCAAGGTTTTGGTTACCACCTTTAAAGCGCTCCATGGCTCAGGACCTGGGTACTTGCGGGACCGCCTACTACCACCAATAGCCTCCCACCGGCCGGTACGCTCCCATAGAGAGGGGCTCCTCTGTGTGCAGTTGGCCAAACAATGCCGACTGGCGGCCCCCAGGGGGAGGGCCTTCTCTGTGGGGGCACCTACTATCTGGAACAAGCTCCCCCCAGAGATACGGAGGATCCCGGATCTGCGCACCTTCCGCCGCGCCTTAAAGACCTCTTTATTTCACCAGGCGGGCCTGGCCTAATTTTCTCCCTCTTTTATAAAAGATTTTTAATTTTTTAATTTTTTAGTATTTTATATATTCAAATTTTAAATTAGGTTTTAAATTGATTGGGGTTTTAATTTGTCGGAGCCAAAACTATTTAATTTGATTTTAATTCCACTTTTAAATTTTGTATGTATGTATTTTATTGTTTGGCTGTGCACCGCCCTGAGTCCTTCGGGAGTAGGGCGGTATAGAAATCAAATCAAATCAAATCAATAAATAAATAAAATATTCAGATTAAATCTGAACAGAAAGGCAGACAAAGTTTCTCTGAAATGGAAACCAACCGTTGGGCGAACTCCAAGACTAGAAATTCATTTTTTTTTAAGCACCGCTAGTTGGCTTTGTGCTTCATATATACAAGAAGTAAAATAGAAAGAGATGGTGGAAAATACGGCGTAGTGAATCTTTCAGCAGAATTGCAGGGTATGATGCAAATAGTAGAATATTTTGGTACGGAACGCAACATGTGTCTCGTATGGATAAAATTGCCATGAAAGGCTCAAAGTAGGATATGCCTGATGATAAGCATAATTAATAACTATGCACCGCACTGTAGCATCATCGTTAAACTATGAGTAGCTTAATCCATGAAGATTAATGCTAAGGGGAAGGCGATTAATCAAAAGCCGGGAAGTGTTTCTTGTCTACATGTTTTCAGGAAATGGGGACATCACAGGGAGGGGACAATAGGGGATGATCGGTTATAATTCTAAACTGTCTCTTTGGAAATTAAAATTTATTCCTTCGCAATATGCCAGACCTCATCCTCCTAACATATTTTTAATTGCCCTTTGATGGAGTCATATATTTTACGAGCTAAGAAGCTAACGGTTCAATTTCTTTCTTACAAATGGAAAGCCCCATCTATTAAAGCTCTTCGTGTCATAAATTAATTGCTAATATGGCGGAACTAGGAGTGAATGTGTCTTCACGGGTCTCTGCACAGGGATCACTGTATATTATTTTTAAGAAGATGTTTTCTTAACGAAGTGACGCAATGGAGGTTGAGCACTGTTTATTAGCACATGTCTGGCAAGCTGAACTTCTCAAGAACGTGCCAGCAGAGTGGGTTCCATGTAGCCCATGAATGTCAGAGAGGACACCCAATAGGTTGGTGCAAGCTCAGATGAGAAGAGCCTGAGATACGGCTACAGTGATTGCCTCTCATGGTGGTGTTCCTTAGCCACATTAAAACTGCAATTCAGAGGTAATTGTGAAGGTCAAGGCTTCTTCTCTTAATGACCTTCTGGACAACCATGCAAATAAGAAGCCTTCCCTTTCCAGGGATTTCTGTTCTAGAAGGACATACCTTCTCCTTTTGTTGACCTACTTCTGAAGAAGATCATGTCTTGTCCTTTCCCAGCAGTCCTATAATAAATTAGTGAGTGAATATTTATAGAAACCACCAGACACACAGATGCAAATACTGGGACTTCCTTCTCCTTCTCCTTCTCCTTCTCCTTCTCCTTCTCCTTCTCCTTCTCCTTCTCCTTCTCCTTCTCCTTCTCCTTCCCCTTCCCCTTCCCCTTCCCATTCCCCCTCCTCCTCCTCCTCCTCCTCCTCCTCTTCTTCTTCTTCTCCCTCCCCACCTCCTCCTCCTTCTGCTCCGCCTCCTCTCCCCAAAGGCAATTCCTTTGAAATAAGGATCAGTAGCTATTTGACTGATAGATTAAAATCTTGCTTTTATTGCTATTCAAAATTATGATTTGTAGAATACTAAGCGGTTTAGCATACCGGTGGCTTCTTTGACAAATATATTTCATGCTTTCTTTGATAAAAGAATTTTTAAGGTAAAATCTTAAGGAATGGGGTTGCATTGAATTGCATTGAGGAAGACCAGTGTTCTAAAATCTAGGTTCCTTAAAGGAAGAGAGAGAGAGAGAGAAGAGAGAGAGAGAGAGAGAGAGAGAGAGAGAGAGAGAGAGAGAGAGATGTGAGTCTTTGTTAAGTGCTGTGGAAACTTTGACTTACTACTATTCTTATCCAAACACCACACTGAAAGGATCAGAGTCTGTTCTTCCACAAGAATTCTAAGTGACTACAAAGCCAATATATATATGCCAGTTATTTATTATTTCTACCCAATTTATGATTGGTTGAGATGGAAACTCAGATACTTTGGCTTTGTAGTCACTTAGAATTCCTGTGGGAGAACAGACTGCTGATCCTTTCAGTGCGGTGTTTGGATAAGAATAGTAGCAAGTCAAAGTTTCCACACCACTTAACGAAGACTCAAATATCCTGATTAAGTTGGTTTGCAAGCATAGGGAAAGACTTAATTATGCATCTCCTCTCAAGGCTTAACACTTATCAAGTTTGATTGAAGTCATGGAAGGTTCAGCTCATGTATTTGCAAAATGCTTTTCTGGCGAAAATGAGGTTCAAAACTCTGGATGAATCCCCATCCCTAAGAGGAGATTATGGAGAAACAAATATCAAATTCCAACTCATATCATTTCTACCTTCCTGCACTCATAATTTCACATTAAGCAGCACGCATCAAAAAAGCTTTAAAAGAAAATAGGAAATTAACACTGGCCACATCATACAAGGAGAATTTATATAAATTATTTTATAGGTGGCATCTTCCTCCAGCAAGACTGGCTAAAATGTTTAGTAATATGTCCCCGAAATGCTGGAAATGCAATCAAGTATCAGGCACATACTATCACATGTGGTGGACGTGCAAAAAAGCGAAAGCATTTTGGCGACGGATTCAGATGTGGTTAGAGGAAATTGTTGGACAAAGATTAGAATTTAAACCAGAATTATTTTTATTAGGAATCATAACACAGGGACATAGTGAAGGATCAACGTATTTAATATTACACATCATAACGGCAGCAAGAATGGTATACGCCCATCAATGGAAAAATGAAACTATACCTTTAGAAAGGGAGATAATAAAGAAAATACTGGTTTGTGCAGAAATGGATAAATTGACATTAGAATTAAAAAATAAAGGAGAGACAGAATATCATGATATATGGAATAGATTTTACCAATGGATGGAACTAAGAGCTGGGAGATGGAACAGGAAATAATCAGGATTTGTAAACCCGAAATGTGATATAAGGTATGTAAATATAACTGAGTACATCGGGTAGAATAATTATATATAATTTGTAATGTTTGGGTAGTATATATGATATTTGTTTTATATTTTAGTGTGTATGGTGGAGATGACGCCAGGATGGTAGCACTGTGTCCAATATTTTAATAAGAAATGAATAAATAAATATTTCTTAAAAAGCATTAAAAGAGTGTAAATACATGCATTTTTGGGTGTTATCTGTCAAGATAAATATTTCTGAAGATCATTAATACTGGTGTGTACCTTCCAGGGGTGAAATCCAGCAGGTTCTGACAGGTTCTGGAGAACCAGTAGCAGAAATTTTGAGTAGTTCAGAGAACTGGCAAATATCACCTCTGGCTGGCCCCACGAGTGGGGAGGGAATGGGGATTTTGCAGTATCCTTCCCCTGCCACGCCCACTAAGCCACGCCCACAGAACTGGTAGTAAAAAGTGTCTGAGAAAATGCAGTTAAAATTGCACCGTTGTAAACCTTAGTTCAAAGAAGGTTTTTGAGACTTGACCTCAAAAGAAAATAAGTCTTAATTGATCTTCGCTGATTCCATTCGGAGAAAAATAAAATGAAATATATTTCTCTGGGCTTTTCGACATTGATCCCGGCCTGTCATGCAAGCATGTCATTGATTAATTTAATGTATCATATTTTTCTTTTTTAAAAGAACAGTTACAAATAATAAATTTCCGTTAATCCAACTGTATTGTTTGGATGGCTGGATAAAGCTATTTTGGATGCTTCATAAGTAATTTACTTAGGAGTGGTGCGGTGGCCTAGAGGTGGAGCTCTCACCTCACAATCAGGAGGCTGTGAGTTCGATCCTAGGTGGAGGCAGATATTTCTCTCTCTGGGCACAATGAGACCTTATCAGCTGAACAAAACTCCACATTGGCAATAGGAAGGGCATTCGGTCATTCAAACGCTCTTCTAGCTCCATTCAGTTGCCCAGACTCCACCCCACAAGGGATTATGGGTTCGTTAAATGATGAAGATAAGTAAAATGATTTACTTAAGAGTAAAAGAAAGGCCATCATTTTTGTCAGAGATATTATTTTCATTTTTGCTGAAAATTTCGTGTTCAATTGCTTCACTTTTATTGGGATTGTGCTTCTTTTTTTCAAGTTGTGCTGGATTTTTTTTAGTTGCTGAAAATAATAATAAAGCTCTCTAATAAAGCTCATCACCCGTGGAAGGTAAATTAATTTCAGATTTCTCTTTCTTTTGCAGAACTACAGGAAACCAAAACATCCCAATTTTACTCTCTTTCCCATCAGCCCTTAGACTACAGGATATTAGTGATGGATGAAGATCAAGATCGGATCTACGTTGGCAGCAAAGATCACATTTTGTCGTTGAATATCAATAACATAAGCCAGGAGCCACTGAGCGTAAGTTCACGGTGTGGTTGGGAATGGAAGATGTCAGGGTAGATTTAAGAGCTGACCAGCTGCTGCAATGATGCAATGATGGGAATGAGCAAGATTTTTTGGCTGTTATCCCTTTAAGAGCCTGTATAATAATAAGAGACCCTGTTAGGGCATCTCTCTCTCTCGTCATGTGTTTTTCCCTGCTGTAATTGCTGATTGTTTGATCTCTGCCTATAGTACATGTATGTATAGTATATATTCTTTTATAGATAAAACCAATATTTTATGACAAACCTCTGTTTGCTGTTATTGCTCCTGGGTTGTCTCACGTAGTAAAGCTGTGCGCACTCTGACAGAAGATTTTCTACTTAAAAATTTTACATGAAAGAGGGAGGGATAACAACATGTTTCATTCTCCCATTAACAGGCTGTATGAATTTTCCATTTTACAGGAGCAATTTTGCTTAACATATTAGCAAGACGATATGTTCACATAGATTTCACTGCCAGACCACAAGTATTTATACCAGGTCAAAACTTTTAAGTTTACAAAAGGAGCTGAGTAATTATCTAAGGATGGAGGTAAAATGGAAAACCACTGAGATGGATCATCTTGGATCAAATGGTAGACAAGCGGGGTGGAAAATGGAGGCTAGTTCAAAATCTTCTTGATTTTGAGTCCTCCACTGGTTGGTCCCTTTCCAATGGACGCATTAAGGGAGGAAACAAAAAACTTAACCTTGAGAAAAAAGAGAGAATGTGGCTTTGTCACAAATAGAAGATAGAACTCTGAAGCTTTTTGGCCCAGCTGAAGTTATCCAAGATAGAGTCACCTAAATTTGTGTCCCAACCATTATCTCCTCTTCTGTCTATAGGTGCTTTTGTGGAGGAATCTGTACAGTGCCATTACTACTATATTATATTGTAGTATTAACATTATATCGCCAAAATATAAATTAGTTTTTTAAAAATAGAATTACATGGTTCTATGGGTTCCTTCCTTCCTTCCTTCCCTCCCTCCCTCCCTTTCATTATCTTCCATTCCCTTTCTCCTTCCCTTTCCTTCCTTCCTTCCTTCCTCCCTCCCTCCCTCCCTCCCTCCCTTTCATTATCTTCCATTCCCTTTCTCCTTCCTTCCTTCCTTCCTTCCTTCCTTCCTTCCTTCCTTCCTTCCTTCCTCCCCTTTCATTATCTTCCATTCCTTTTCTCCTTCCTCCTCCCTCCCTTTCATTATCTTCCATTCCCTTTCTCCTTCCTTCCTTTCTTCATTCCTTCCTTCCTTTCCTTGCAACTTGTTCTTTTTAATTATGAAAGCATCAATATTTACAGTTTGCATATTTCTGTAGCTTATGGATGAGATAATGTGGTTACGCTGGTTTCATATCTTACTTATTATTGTGAGTATGTAGTCTTTGTTTGGCTTTGTGTGGTTAACCACACAGGCTGGCTTGGCCAACACTGAGTAGGATAGATCTGCAGTAATACTTGCCCTGAGCTATCATTTTTGTCTGAACATATATACTGTATGAAGTAACAAGACATCCTCATGTTATATTTCCTGGACAGCTTCAACTAAGTACTGTATGTGCATGCATTTCCAATGGTGTAATGTTTGTGAAGTTCCTAATATCCTAGATCGGCCATATGGCTAAAGCAAAATATGTCTTGCTCCACAAAGACCGTCTTATCTTTTTAAGTTTTGAGACCACTCAACTTTTCTTTCACACAACAGGAAGTGGTCCATTTCTCTACCTCACCCAATCACACATGGATACAAATTGCACTTGAAATGCAATTCATTGGATCACAATTTCAGTAAATACCACAATTCTAGGATGGTGGTTGGAAATGGCTTACACCGGCCACAGATTATAACTAATAGTTAAATCACCTTAATTACAGTAGATTGTAACAAATAATTAAATAACCTTAATTATAGTAGATTATAACTAATTGTTGTTGTTAGTTGCGAAGTCATGTCTGACCCATCACGACCCCGTGGACAATTTTCCTCCATCCCTTCCTTTCTTCTACCATCCCCTGGAGTCCATTTAATAGAATAGAATAAAATAGACTTTTTTATTGGCCAAGTGTGATTGGACACACAAGGAATTTGTCTTGGTGCATATGTTCTCAGTGTACATAAAAGTTCATCCAGCCACCTCGTTCTCTGCCGTCCCCTTCTTCTTTTGCCCTCAATCGTTCGCAGCATTAGGCTCTTCTCCAGGGAGTCCTTCCTTCTCCTTAGGTGGCCAAAGTATTTGAGTTTCATCTTCAGGATCTGGCCTTCTAAAGAGCAGTCAGGGTTGATCTTCTCTAGGATTGACCGGTTGGATCGCCTTGCAGTCCAAGGGACTCACAGGAGTCTTCTCCAGCACCAGAGTTCAAAGGTCTCAATTCTTTGACGCTCAGCCTTCCTTATGGTCCAACTTTCACAGCCATCCATTGCAACTGGGAAAACCATAGCCTTGACTATACACACTTTTGTTGGCAGGGTGAGGTCTCTGCTTTTTAGAATGCTGTCTAGATTTGCCATGGCTTTCCTCCCCAGGAGCAAGCATCTTTTAATTTCTTGGCTGCAGTCCAAGAATATATGTGTGTGTGTATCTCTGTGTGTGTCTGTGTGTATAACTACTTAAATAACCTTAAAAATGTGGTTTCCAGATAAGCATTAGAGATGGACTAATGGACAGGGGAAGGATACTGCAAAATCTCCATTCCCTCCCCACTCCAGAGGAAGAATACTGCAAAATCCCCATTCCCTCCCCACTCCAGGGGAAGGATACTTCAAAATCCCTCCCCATTCCTGGGGGAAGGATATTACAAAATCTCCATTCCCACCCCAATCTGGATCCAGCCAGAGGTGGTATTTGCCAGTTCTCCAAACTACTCAAAATTTCCGCTACCGGTTCTCCAGAACTTGTTGGAACCTGCTGAATTTCATCCCTGGTAAATACTCTAATACAGTAGCATCTCGGACATATTTCTTTCATTGTTGTTGTTGTTTTTAAGAAGACCATATTAACAGAATATTTAAACTCTCGGTAAATCTGGCTGCACTTCTCGGTGAACACATGCATTCATCCCCATTGTCGGGATCTGACAAGCATGAGGCATTAGAGAAACAAATCCCTCCAAACTTCTTCACAGACGGACGATCTTTTAAAAACGCTCCCTTCAAGTGTCATTTCAAAATAGAGGCTGTTCCTTTCTAAAGCAAGACAGATGGGACATATGGGACATCCGTGCACAGGGCTGACGATGCTTGAAAAGATTATTTTTATATATACCGGTATTTATTTTTATTGCAACGCGTATTTTCCTGGATGGAGAGGTGAGCCGTGCGTTTAAAAGGATAAAGAGCAGGATTATTCTTCCAAATTACCAGTTATAGCAGTTATAAAAATAAAAAAGTGAGCAAAATGGGGCTTGTTGCTTCTTCCACCGATCTGGCTGTGAATCATGCGTAAAGGGTCAAATGGCTTAGGACCCGCTTATTTACGAGACCACCTTCCGCCTCCGATAACTTCCCACCGGCCAATACGCTCCCACAGAGAGGGCCTCCTCAGGGTGCCGTTGGTCAGGCAATGTCGCCTGGTGACCCCCCGGGGAAGAGCCTTCTCTGTGGGGGCACCCGCCCTCTGGAATGAGCTACCCCCAGGGATACGACTGATCCCGGACCTCCGTACCTTCCGCCGGGCCCTGAAGACTTTTTTATTTCAGCAAGCCGGGCTGGGTTTAAAAATCTTTTAATTGGAGAATTTTATGGGTAAGGGGTTTTAAAGTGGGGAAGCCAAAGATAAATTTAATTTTGTTTTAAAGTATTTTAATATTTGTATTGTGTGTTTTTAATTTTGTCTGTTCACCGCCCCGAGTCCTTCGGGAGAGGGGGCAGGATAAAAATTTAAAAAATAAAATAAATAAAATAAAATAAAGAATCCATTTGTCAGATATTGCTTTAAAATACCATTTTTTTCGGACTATAAGACACACCGGAGTAGAAGTTGCACCAAGATTTCGAAGAGGAAAACGAGAAAAAAAATAGTTTTTGGCCTCCGCGCATCTGGGTTTTGCCCTCCTCGGCCCCTAGGAGCACTCTGCAGGCCTCCCAAACCCTCTACAGGCCCTGTTTTTGAGAAAAATGGGCCCGTTTTTGAAAAAAATGAGCCCGTTTTTGGCCTCCCATACCCCCCCCCACTCCTGTTTTTGTCCTCCTCAACCCCCAGGAGCACTCTGCAGGCCTCCCAAACCCTCTGCAGGCCCCGTTTTTGGAAAATGGGCCTGTTTTTGGCAAAAATGGGACTCGTGGGGCGGGGTTTCGGGAGGCCAAAAATGGTTGTATTCGGTGTATAAGATGCACCAACATTTCCACCCTCCAAGTTGTTCCACTGATTAATTGTTCTGAGGAAATTTCTCCTTAGTTCTAGGTTGCTTCTCTCCTCGATTCTATGTATTCCTTCCTAGTTGTATGTTGACTATTACGTTTATTACTACAGAAGTCTCCCAAGGCAGATTTTGTTGCTGTTAGTTGCTAAATTGTGTCTGACTCTTCACAACCTCATGGATCATAGCATGCCAAGACCCCCTTGCCTTCCGTCTATCATGGTTTGCCCAAATCCATGTTCATTGTGTCGTTGACACCATCTAAACATCTCCTCCTCTGTTTTGCTCTTCTCCTTTGATGAGGCATGTTGTGGGAAGACAATCTCAAGGTCTTCTAATTTCTTGGCTAAAGGCCATTCACCACACAGGAGGCTTTGACAACTTCTTGTGGTTCAGTCACTAAGTCGTGTCCAACTCCTACTACCTCAGAAGGCTCCCAAGACAGATTTTGTTGTTGTTTAGTTGCTATGTTGTGTCTGACTCTTCACAAACCGATGGACCACAGTATGCCAAGCTCCCCTGTTCCCCACTGTCTCTTGGAGTTTTCCCAAAATTATGTTCGTTGCGTTGATGACGCTATCTAACCATCTCCTCCTCTGCCATATCCTTTTCTTTGGGCATTCCATTTTTCCCAACATCAGCATCTTCTCCAAGGAATTGCCTCCAGAAGTTCTCCATCACTGGAGGTTTTTATAAGAAAAGACTGTCCAGTTTTTTGAATCCTCTCTTCTCATTTGGTGGCCAAAGTCGTTGAGCTTCATCTTCAGTATCCTCAAGTCAAGGTTGATTTCCTTTAAGCTTGACTGATTTGATTTTCTTGCAGGCTAAGGGACTCTCAAAAGCCTTCTCCAACATAGAATCAGTTCAGCATCCCTTCCTTTAAATGCTATTCCAGTAATTACAAGCTGTTTCCAGATTCTCCTGAAGAGAAAAATCATATTCCAACCACATGCCATTTCACTTTCTTATTCGTTCAGGTCTTTTGCATGAATTCTGCCTTGCTCCAGGCAATAACGTGGGAGCGATGGAAACCCACACACCAGTTGTAACCACATTTCCTAATCCCTGTTTAACGTCTCATTCAAATACATGTTTTCACACTGACAGCGATTGCAATTATGGAAACTTGAGATGCATTTTATGGTGGATCCTCCAAGCGGAACGAATTTGTTGAAACTTCACAGAAGGAACCAGAAGGAGAACAATGTCTGTCTAACTTTTCTAGACTAGTAAATGAGGGTACGATTGATGGCATCTTATTCCACCAGCAGACTGCTACAAGTTGGAATTGCTCCAACAAACATAGAGTACTAAGCTGTGTTCTTTGTTCATAGCAACTGGGGTTTAGTTTCCCCCTTTTTTTGTCTGGCTTCTAAACCTATTTCGTTTTCCCTTACTCTAGCCTGCGTGAATCTGATGGAGAATTTGCTCTTTTGGGGAATCATGGTTTGTTTTGACTTTAGCAATAGCAAAAGAAGATGAATATACTGCTCCATAGCACTTTACAGCATTTCGGTTCAATCAAAGTAGAGCTGGAAGGGACCCTGGAGGTCTTCTAGTCCAACCCTGACTCAAGCAGGAAACCAGTGGTGGGTTCCTCCCGGTTTTGCCCAGTTCGGCCGATCCGGTAGCGGTGACGATATGATGTCATCGAACCGCTTCTCTTTGTTCGGGAGCTGTATTATACAGGATTCGTGTAAGATTCCCTAAGTTGGTGACTAAGAAGTAAATTCTTCAAAAGGATGATGGAAATGCCAAAAATTATTCTTTAGAGTATTTTTTGTTATATTAAAGCCTGCAAAAGTAGCTGCCAATGAAGGAGAATATATTTGGAGGCTTGGAATCTTCCAGAGTAGTGCAGCTACCCTCCCAAAATACCCTGCTCCTGAGCCTCCCATCCTTTAAAGAACATTCAGGCAAGTTTGGACAAAGAATGATCAAGTTGCAGATGGCATGCCAAATCTGCTTTGTCTTGCTCAATGATCACCAAAGATAGTCATGAATCACTGGACATGTCAAAGACTACACAAAACCAAAATGTTTGGGCCTTCGGGTCATGGTTGACTCCTAGCATTTGCCTGGACAAGCCAGGCAAAATGTTCAGAAGTGGTTTGCCCTTGTCGTCGTCTTCTTCTTCTTCTTCTTCTTCTTCTTCTTCTTCTTCTTCTTCTTCCTTCTTCTTCTTCTTCTTCTTCTTCTTCTTCTTCTTCTTCTTCTTCTTCTTCTTCTTCTTCTCTTCTTCCTCCTCCTCCTCCTCCTCCTCCTCCTCCTCCTCTCCTCCTCCTCCTCCTCCTCCTCCTCCTCCTCTTCTTCTTCTTCTTCTCTTCTCCTCCTTCTCCTTCTCCTTCTTCCTTCTCCCTTCTCCTCCTCCTCCTCTCCTCCTCCTCCTCCCCCCATCCTCCCCCTCCTCTTTCCCTTCTTCTCCTTCTCCTCCTCCTCCTCCTCCTTCCTAGGGCTGAGAGTGAGAAGGACTGTCCAAGATCACCCAGTTGGTTTTGTATCTAAGATGGGACTAGAACTCACAGTGTCTAGCCTAGTACATTAACAGCTCCACCAAACTCTATCTTCTAAAAGTCCAAAAGTACCCTCAAAGTGCAAATTTGATTCTTTGAGTGTGCAACTTACCGTGCATTGATTCCTCTACTGTCCTGGTAGTCAAATCAAGTACCCCAAACCAGGTTCTTAAGGAGTTGTGGGTGCTTCAGAACGTACCTCCAGAACATACCTCCAGAAGTTGTGGGTGATCCAACATGGTTCTCTTTTAAGAAGAGATTGTTTGTCTGAATGGTGCAGGGTTTCCTGCTTGAGCAATGGGTTGGACTAGAAGATCTCCGAGATCCCTTCCAACTCTCTTATTCTGTGATTCAATGGGTACTTCAGAAGAGAGTTAGGAGTGGAAGAAGAAAAGAAAACTACTGCCTTCCGTCCCTTAAATAGGTTTTCCATAAGAAAAACTGAAGATAGAATTTCTCCAGCAAGCTAGTTGTACAAAAATATTGACTTTACGAGTTTAGGCACGATGCAAAGGCAGTAGGTTCAGTTCAGACTAATCCCCTCCTCCCTGACTATGTATTAAAGATTATGTAATCCATTTAAAATATTTTGTTTTCTTTCCATGCAGATTTTCTGGCCAGCATCAACAGCCAAGGTGGACGAGTGCAAAATGGCTGGCAAAGATCCCACAGTAAGTCTTTTAGTTTTTTTTCCTTTTAATTATACATTTGGCTGCCTGGATCGTCAATACAGCCAAGAGCAGAAGGGAAATGGCATAGTTTTCCTTAAATACTCTTTGGGCTGGACGATCCTGTGGAATTTGACAGCTGCAAGAGTCTAGATCAGAGGTCCAGAATCTTCGGTCTGTCGAACGGTACCAAACTCTGGCCTGTTGGGAACCGGGCTGCACAAGTGGCAAGTGAGTGAGCAAAGCTTCATCTGCTAGGTGGCTCAGTGGCTAAAACACTGAGCTTGTCAATCAGAAAGGTCCGCGGTTGGAATCCCTACCTGCGTGAGGAGGGGGTTGGACTACATGACCTCCAAGGTCCCTTCCAACTCTCTTAATCTGTAATATAAAGAACAGTTGCAGGAATTGGTTATGGCTATAATGCATCTATACTACGTTAACCATCACAATCCTGTATTCTGTATCCTGAAGGAATACAGTTGCAGGAACTGGGTATGTCTAGTTTGATGAAGAAAAGGACCAGGGGAGGCATGATAGCAGTCTTCCAATATCTCAGGGGCTGCCCCAAAGAAGAGGGAGTCAAGCTATTCTCCAAAGCACCTGAAGGCAGGACAAGAAGCAACGGGTGGAAACTCATCAAGGAAAGGAACAACCTAGAACTAAGGAGAAATTTCCTGACAGTTAGAACAATTAATCAATGGAACAGCTTGCCAATAGAGTAGAGTAGAGTAGAGTAGAGTAGAGTAGAGTAGAGTAGAGTAGAATAGAATAGAATAGAATAGAATAGAATAGAATAGAATAGAATAGAATTTTTTATTGGCCTAGTGTGATTGAACACACAAGCAATTTGTTTTGGTGCATACGTTCTCAGTGTACATAAAAGAAAAGATGCATTCGTCAAGAATCATAAGGTATAACACTTAATGATAGTCACAGGGTACAAATAAGCAATCAGGAAACAATATCAATATAAATCGTAAGGATCCAAGCAACAAAGTTACAATCATACAGTCATAAGTGGAAGGAAATGGGTGGTGGGAATGATGAGAAGATTAATACTAATGCAGACTTAGTAAATAGTTTGACAGTGTTGAGGGAATTATTTGGTTAGCAGAGTGATGGCGTTCAGGAAAAAACTGTCCTTGTGTCTAGTTGTTCTGGTGTGCAGTGCTCTATAGTCTCGTTTTGAGGGTAGGAAGTTGTGAATGCTCCAACAGTGGAAGTTTTTAAGAAGAGATTGGACAACCATTTGTCTGAAATTATATAGGGTTTCCTGCCTGAGCAGGGGGTTGGACTAGAAGACCTCCAAGGTCCCTTCCAACTCTGTTATTCTTCTTCATTTATGGAACGGAACAGAACAGTTGAGAACAGAATAACAGATAAATGTGTTTTATTTTAAAAGTTCTACCTTCTTGGAAAGTGATGTAAAATAATAGAATGTTGACAAGCATTTGTGAACTATGAAAAACAAAGACTAGTCCCTAAATAATTTCAATAATTAAAGATTAGATAAAATGGAAAAAAAAACCAGTTAGATAAATGAAGAAAAATCAATTTCTCCATGTGATTATAATAAGTTTTCATTTGCTTTAGCTCATCCAAGCTTAAATATTGAATTAGCTGATCGGAATAGCTAATTTCCGTGCCTCTTCTGAAGCTGGTCCCGGGAGCCAGAAAAGTTGGAGACCCCTAATCTAGATCTCACCACCAGGGTCTGGAAAACGTAGCACGTTGCTTATGTTCGAAACCAAGCTTTAACAAAAAATATCTCCATGAAAAGCAAACAAAACTCTTGTCTTGCTTTTCTTCTTATTAATGTGGAAATCATTAGTAGGACTTGCTTTCAATGTCTCTTAAAGAATATAAGGCAGGCTGATCTAATACTCATATAAGTGCTTGGATAGGATCCCAGAAGGTATACTGTATATGTTCCTTTTTGCATGGGAGGGGGAAAAAAGAAAGAAATTTATACATTCTGAAAGCACTTACTGCCTGATCATAAAACACTGTTTTCGGCAGATGCCTAAAAAAGATTAAAACTTTCTTGAAAGCAGGTAAACGTGGCCTGTATGTCATTAGAATTAAAGCATGGATTAGGGAGAAGGATTGTCTGTTAAACCAATTACTGGAGAGAGAGAGAGAAAAAAACTCAAAAGAAATTCTGGATCAAACAAGGCAGCATTTTTGCTGAGTTAAGAGATTAATGTGGTGTATCGGGCAACTCTTGAAAAGGCTGCTGTAAGAAATTAAAAGAATTATCATTCATGGGTTCATCGGTTGGAAGTTTGCACTAGTCTGGCTGAACATTTAGTGGTGAAAACTCAGAACTAACTTTGGATAATTTTCTTCTTCTTTTTTTTTTAAGAGCTGTGCTAAGCATTCACTCATGGCTCAGTGGCTAAGACGCTGAGTTTGTCAATCAGAAAAGGTAGGGGCAGTTCAGAGGTTCGAATCCCTAGTGCCGCGTAACGGGGTGAGCTCCCGTGACTTGTCCCAGCTTCTGCCAACCTAGCAGTTCGAAAGCAGGTAAAAAAATGCAAGTAGAAAAATAGGGACCACCTTTGGTGGGAAGATAACAGCGTTCTGTGCGCCTTTGGCGTTGAGTCATGCCAGCCACATGACCACGGAGACAACTTCGGACAGCGCTTGGCTCTTCGGCTTTGAAACGGAGATGAGCACCGCCCCCTAGAGTCGGGAACGACTAGCACATATGCGCGAAGGGAACCTTTACCTTTACTAAGCCTTCACTGTCTCTTTTATTACAACTTCAGTTCTTAAGACATTTAAAGTGGGCATCAAAGAGCGTTATAAAAATTTCAAAGGTTTTTAATCTTTGTTGGGATCTTGGATTAGTTGAAGTCGGCTGTGTTTTGCTTAACTTTAGTTTATTCATAGATCATAATTCTGTCAGTTTTCTGTCAGCTTATAAAGCCAGAATCCATAATTCACAAATTAGAGTGTCCAGGTTTCCAAGAACACTCTAAACTAAAATAAAAACATTATGGTGTATACTAGTTTTGAGTCAAGGGTGTTCACTGTCAGAATATTTGTTCAGAATGATTTTGCTATGAATCATAGTTGTATGTAGAGACTTTCTTTGATGACAAACTTCATATAAAAAAAATACATTACTTTTACAAAACTATCAATACCCGAATATATATTTCTTTTATTTATTTATTTATTTTATTGTATTTTTATACCGCCCTTCTTCTGCGGGACTCAGGGCGGTGTACATTTTAGCTCGAGAGTCGACAAAATGTCTTTTTTTATATAAAGTTTTTTATTGATTTTACAACAACAGCACAACACAACATACAAAGCACAAACACATAATATGTGTTTCTTTTTTACATATCAGTTTCGTTTCTCTTACTTTCTGCTTTATAGATTCCCCATTTTTCCCATCCTTTATTAACATGATCTTTACTGTCCCTTTATTTCTAATTTTATTTATTTACATTATTTTACATATTTGTCACCTTCTTCTCTCCATCATTTATTCACCTTTACTTTCTCTAATCCTGAGCCAATCGTACCACTTAGTCCATACTTGGCAGTATTCTGTATCTTCCTTTTCTTTTCTTTCTTTCATTGATTTGTCCATCTCTGCACAGTCCAGGACTTTTTTAATTTAATGTAATTTAAGACATAAAAAAAGAAAATGCTTTTTCTTAATGTCTAGACGGTTTCTCCAGCCGTACTGAAAATTTGCTGGTAACATTAATCGCAGCAGACGAGAAATATTTAGCCACCCATGTGGAAGATGTAAACATGTGATTTGTTCCTTTTCCTTTCCTGCCGTTCTTTCGCTCCTTTCGTTCGTTGTAGACTCTTGAGTAAAGCCTGCTGGTGCATTTTCCACACAGATGTTTCTCTTCCAGATGTTGGCTTATAGAGGACTCAGTTTGGCCTTTGTTCACAGCACCTGCTAATGATCTTGAAGTTTATGTACATGTGAACCATCGTTTATCACTCTCTCTTTCTCCAATCTGATTTCTATTTTTTTTTACTTGAGATGCAGAAAGGAAGGGGAAATTGGAGTGGTAAATAAATGTCCATGGAGATTCTCAGTCCTCCGGGTCAAGGTGCTTTTTTCAAGAGGCAATTGGACTTTCCTGGAGGAGTGGTGTAGGGGTGGGTTCTAAATTTTTTTACTACTGGTTCTGTGGGCGTGGCTTGATGATCATGTGACAATTATTTAGGATTTAGCAGAGGTACTGGTCTACCAGGCTTTTAACTGCTTGCCGAGCTGTACCGATCTACCCATTTATTTTTTGCAGGCACAGGTCTGCCCATTTATTTTTGCAGGCACTGATCTCCTCATGTATTTTTGCAGGCACTGATCTCCTCATGTATTTTTGTAGGCACTGATCTACTCATGTATTTTTGCAGGCACTGATCTATTCATGTATTTTTGCAGGCACTGGTCTACCCATTTATTTTTGCAGGCACTGATCCACTCATGTATTTTTGCAGGCACCGGTCTACTCATTTGTTTTCTTTTAACACTGATCAGCTGTAGGGCGGCCCTTTGAAGCCCCGCGGCAAGAGTTTAAACAGTTTTTTTCCCTCTAGCCATTAGCTGGGACTCAGGAGGCAGCAATAGATTGGGGGTGGGGCCAAATAAAAGGTAAGAATAACGTGGGGGGTGGGGTGGGGGACCGAACCGGTTCGGTGACATCATATCGTCACCGCTACCGGTTTGGGAGAACTGGACCGAACCAGGAGGAACCCACCACGGGAGTGGTGCAGTGGCCTAGAGGTGGAGATTTCACCTCACAATCAGGAGGCTGTGAGTTCAGTCCTAGGTAGAGGCAGATATTTCTCTCTCTCTCTGGGCACACTGAGAATATATCTGCTGAAATAAAAACTCTGCACTGGTGACAGGAAGGGCATCTGGCCATTCAAACACTCTGCTAGCTCCGTTCAGTTGTCCAGACTCCACCCCGCAAGTGATTATGGGGTCATTAAATGATGATGATGGACTGGAATTTCTTGGTTGTTTTTGTTTTTTGAAGACATTTCACTTCTCATCCAAGAAGCTTCCTCGGCTCTGACTGGATGGTGGAGAATGGAAGGATTTATATTCTTTGCAGACAGCTGGTCGTTTGCATCCTTTTAGAGGGTTGTTGAGGCCACTTGGAAGTTTATCTCTGTCCTCAGGGTCACCTGAATAGATGCAGACAACACAGATTCATCCTCAACAGCTTGCACCTGTGTTCAACAGTGAATGGACCCAGGGCAGAAAATATCCTGCAGATAGCACAGCTCCACAATACAGTCCTTTCAGCAGTTCCTAAAATGCTCCACACCCATTTGCATCACTCAGGTGTTCCCAAGGACACAGATAAACTTCCAAGTGGCCTCAATGATTTTCTAAAAAGAACGCAAATGACCAGCTGTCTGCAAGGAATATAAATCCTTCCATTCCCCACCATCCAGTCAGAGTTGAAGAAGCTTCTTGGATGAGAAGTGAAGCATCTTCAAAGAAAAAACAAAAAGTCCAGTCAGTCACCTCTTAAAAAAAAAAAAAGCACAATTAGAACTGCAGAAAAAACAATGGATACCAACCTCCCTTCCATTGAGGACCTGTATACTGCACAAGTCAAAAAGAGGGCTGTGAAAATATCTACAGACCCCTCGCATCCTGGACATAAATTGTTTCAACTCCTACCCTCAAAATGACGCTATAGAGCACTGCACACCAGAACCACCAGACACAAGAACAATTTTTTCCCCGAACGCCATCACTCTGCTAAACAAATAATTCCCTCAACACTGTCAAACTATTCACTAAGTCTGCACTACTATTAATCTTCTCATCGTTCCCACCACCCATCTCCTCCCACTTATGACTATATGAGTGTAACTTTGTTACTTGGATCCTTACGATTTATACTGACATTGTTTCCTGATTGCTTATTTGTACCCTATGACTATCATTAAGTGTTGTACCTTATGATTCTTGACGAATGTATCTTTTCTTTTATGTACACTGAGAGCGTATGCACCAAGACAAATTCCTTGTGTGTCCAATCACACTTGGCCAATAAAGAATTCTATTCTATTCTATTCTATTCTATTCTATTCTATTCTATTCTATTCTATTCTATTCTATTCTATTCTATTCTATTCTATTCTATTCTATTCTATTCTATTCTATTTGGGACAATTGGAGTGGTAGATTTAGACTCTTGAGTTGATGCATCCAAATATGCTAAATTCGGTCAGGTGAATCACCTTTGTTGCTTCTCTTCTTTACATTGGGCAGCAGGTACCAATAATTTAGATCAAAGAGGCTGTTTTCTTTTTCCTATTAGTTCCAAAAACATATTAATATATGACTCAAAAGGGCTTGAAATTGGTGAAACAAGAACCAATGTTTCTCAGGCCAATTCGCTCTGGTTCTTTGAAAAAAGAGATGACCCCCCCCCAAAAAAAGACTTAAAAAGTTGGAATAAAAAACCTGGGCAGAATGGGAAAACTCACAATTCACCACAGCCAATGCATTGCAGGATAACTTGCTGTGGGACAATAAACCAGTGGAACAGCTTGCCACCCGAAAATGTGGGTGCTCCATCACTGGAAGTGTTTAAAAAGAGACTGGAAAATCACTTGTCTGGAATGGAATAAGGTCTCCTGTTTGAGCAGGGGGTTGGACTAGAAGACCTCCAAGGTCCCTCCCAAGTCCGTTGTTCCGTATTCTGCTCTAACGTGGCTTGCTCTGATGTGACATTTATGTGCAGGTTCATCCATTTTTTACCCTCTGCAGCATGGATGTGGCAATTTTGTTCGGGTGATACAGATGTTCAACCGCACCCATCTGTACGTTTGTGGGAGTGGAGCGTTCAGCCCTGTCTGTGCCTACTTCAACAGAGGACGAAGATCTGAAGTAAGTAGCTTCTTTAAAATGGTTTTTATCTCTTGATCAGTTCAAAGTCTGTAGAGATTCTCAGTCATCCAGGTCATGGTTTGTTAAGAATATATTGGCTCATAACCAATGTTATGGGTTATTGAGCAGAGCACCCCTTGAGTATGCACATGAAAGTGGCTGAGAGTGAATAACCACAGTTAATATACTGACACATTGAGTTGTTGTAGTCTTTTACTTTTAGAAAAAAGTAAAGTCCAATAACAATCCAAGTCATACACAGATAAGATGAGAGTTAAAAGATCAATCCAGGGATACAAAGTACAAAGTCTTCTTACCAGTTGTAGTCATACACAATAAAACAGTTCTTCTTGAGTTTCAAAACAGGAACAAGTTCAATATCAAAACATTCCATAAATAGTAGAAAGCAACATGTAGCTATGATCAAACAGTGATCATGCGGAGAGATCAGGTAGAGAGTCACAGCAAATAAGCAGGTAAAATGGTGTAGTATCCACACAAGCCATGATCCTGACTTCCCTTAAGTACATTGGCTACAGAGCTTAGCCAATCAGGATACAGGATGATGCAATACAGTCTTAAAGCAATATAATACCTTTCTGACTGCAAACATACATTGTTGGTTTATATATTGCCTGACCAACTAGTTAGACAAATAACCATTTCCTAACATGGTTGTCCGAAAGGTGCTTTTTCAGGAGGCAATTGGACTTGCTTGTTTTTTCTTTTGAAGACGTTTTGCTTCTCATCCAAGAAGCTTCTTCGGCTCTGACAGGATGGTGGAAGGATGGAAGGATTGATACTCCTTGCAGACAGCTGGTCCTTTGCATCCTTTTAGAGGGTCATTGAGGCCACTTGGAGGTCTATCTGTGTCCTCAGGGTCAGCTGAGTGGTGCAAATGGTTCCTGTAGTCTGCAATTTTCCCCTCTGGAAATCCACTCCTATTCCAACACCATTCCAAGGATGTTGATCCCAAATTGTATAGCTAAAATGTCTGTAGAGATTCTCAGTTATCCAGGTCATGGTTCTCCCAAAGGTGTTTTTTCAGGAGGCAACTGGACTTCCTTGTTTTTTTCTTTTGAAGACATTTCGCTTCTCATCCAAGAAGCTTCTTCAGCTCTGATAGGATAGTGGAGAATGTCAGAGCCGAAGAAGCTTCTTGGATGAGAAGCGAAACATCTTCAAAAAAACAAAAAAAAACAAACAGATAAGCTGTGCAGTCTTTTCTTCTCGTTGTCACCCATTCCTAATTTTGCAAAATTGGCCAAATTTGGCAGAAAATTTCTTTCCCTTGAACCGGGAGAGAAAAGGTTCGTGAGATTTCTCAAACTGTCTCCTTCAACATCTTGGGAAATAAATGTCTAAGAATGTGAGGAGAGCCATATTTTTTTTTTAAAAAAAGGGGGATTTTTTTTTTAAAAAAAAATGGTCTTCCGAAACCTCACAAAGAGCAGGACAAAATGTTTAATTTCTCCAAAGGGGTTGACATAAACACAACCTGCCTTAATTTATAATAACATGCTACGTTTCAAGATAAGACCGAGAGACCCCAAACAAGTGATTCTTCAGCTGTGCTGCCTCTTGAACCACATGCTTTAAAATCAGTCGGTCAAATAAACGGCTGCCTCAGACATCTGGAGTCTGCAAGGCACTTGACGGTCAAAAGCTTTTGTAGCTTTTTCATTGCTCTTATTGTGGGAGCCAACAATAGCCAAGCTGTTGGAAGCCTCGGGGTTTGAAAGGGTCCCTCCTGTTGCAGCCCTGGCATCTCTACATCGTAATGGGTCCAAGTGGATTTATTTTTAGCCGTCCCGGAGGCAAAGATTAATGGGAAATGGTACCACCGCCTTATCAATGAGGGAGGCCTGGTCTCATTTGACTTTCTAATACTATTTTTATTCTTAGGCTTTGGAAGGGAGGTTTTGTTGGGAAAGGGGTGGGGGTGGGGAAGGGAAGGGAAGGGAAGGGAAGGGAAGGGAAGGGAAGGAAAGGAAAGGAAAGGAAAGGAAAGGAAAGGAAAGGAAAGGAGGGAAGGGAAGGGAAGGGAAGGGAAGGAAAGGGAAGGAAAGGAAAGGAAAGGAAAGGAAAGGAAAGGAAAGGAAAGGAAA